AAAAGGATTTTAATTAGTTTTAGATATTTTCTTATATTTAATTAAATTATTAATAGGTAAAAGTAAAAGATTAGGTAAATAGCTTATTTACTTATTTAACTTACTTATTTATTAACTATATTATATATTAAACTTAAATTACTAATTCTTTTATATTAATTCTTAGTATAATTAGTATTATTAATTATTTAAATATAATAGTAAAACTAGAGCTTTATTATATGTAGTAATAATATCCTTTAATACCTTCTAAAAGACTATTATAACTAGCTTTATAAGTTATTTATTATTAAACTATTTTATTTAGTAATAAACTTAAATAGTTATTTTTTTATTATATTACTATTTTTTCTTTTTATTTATTTATATTAAATCTATATAAAGTATTAAGAAGTTACTATTATTACTAACTAGGTATAATTTAGTATCTTTATAATAGGTTTTATTTAGGGAGTTTATTTTTAGTTAAATTTATAATATTTTTTAATTCTATTATTTTTTATTAATTAATTAAAAAAATATTATCTAAGAATATAATTAAAAATTAGCTTTTAATAGTAAAATTTAATAATTAATATTTTCTAATAATATTTAAAGTCTTTATTAGTTACTATAAAAATAACTTACTTTTAGGTAATAAATATACTAATATAATTATAATCCTTAAGAATAATATTATTAAAATACTTAATTATAATAATAACTTTATCTTTATTAGTAATAAGTTTTTCTTAGTTACTAGAAGAATTTTACTAGTAATTATATATTATCTAATATATATTAGTATTAATATAAAATATATAAAGCTATTACTAAGTATTTAGTTATATTAAAGAAATTACTTTTTTAAATATAGTTTTATTATCTATAATAATAATATTAAATTATAAAGTATTAATATTTTATTAAAAGACCTTAAATTAAGATAATTACTAAATATAGTTACTAAAAGTATTATAATTTATAAGACTTAAGTAAAATTACTTATAAAGTTCTAATTAATTAAATTTATAACTTAGAAAAAGATATAACTTAAAGTAATTAGTTTTAAATATATTATTATAACTAATAACCTATAAAAATTACTTTTATATTAACTTATATTAATAATAAGTCTAGAGGATATTAAAAAATATAAAGTTATTAAAAATAATAATATAATAAAAGCCTTTTTTTATAAAATTTATATTTATTATTAGGTTAATATAAAGCTATTAAGCCCTAGAATTTATATTTTTAGTAGCTACTATATATATCTTTTTAAATAAAAACATCCTACTAATAAATAAATATATTATATATAGTATAAATAATTTTATAGATTAACAGAGTTTAGTATTATATAAGGTTTTAAAAAAGCCTTATTTAACTAAATATTTATTTTTAAGAAATAAAGTAGATAGCTAAGCTAAGGGATATAAGATAATTATAAGTAATATCTTTAACTTTATATATCTATAGATTATTTAAAGCTAAATTTAATTTTTATAATAATTTAAAAAAAATAACTTTATAAGAGTTATATTTTTAAAATTTAATAGCTTTTAAAGAGTATTAATAGTTTTTATTATAAATAATTCAGTAAAATATAATAATATAAATATTATTATATAATTATTTTCTTAATATATAACTCTTAATAATTATAATATTATTTTTATAATAAAATAATTATAAAAAAGAAAATAATAATACTAAAGTATTAAATAAAGATATTAATAATAGTAGTAATAGAATTAATAGCTTTTTTATTATTATTATAGTTATATTAATAAAAAAAAGAAAAGGGGTTATTAAAACTTAAGGGTAGTAATATTATATTAACCTTTAATAAAGAAAAAAAAATGAATTACTTATTTTAGTAGTTCTTTTAAGATATTTAATTTTTTATAGAATATACTAGTTATTTAAGGTACTTAATAAGTCTCTTAGTAAAGGCTATTATATAAGGCTTATATATAGAGTAAAAAGTTCTTATACTAATAGTATTACTTAATTATATAAGTAATAGTAGATATTAATTTAGGTTAGTAGTAGAAGTAGAATAGAGGTAAGATAGATTTATAGTAGAATATTAAACCTTTTTCTTCTAGTACTTAATATAGATAATCTTAGTAAATATTTAAGAAGTTTATATTTTAAAGTCTAGTTTTTATTTATATAATTATAGTTTTTTTCTAAATAAAAGATACAATATTAAAGTTATTAATTTATTTTTTTCTTTTTTCTTCTATCTATACTTAAACTTTTATATATTTATTAATAATTTTTATAATAATTATATAATTAATAATATAAAATTATTATTATATTTTATATTATTAAGTTTCTAATTAATAAATATTAAATATTATAACAGTAATAGATTTTATATATAAATATAGAAGAGAAGTAGCTATATAAAATAAATAAAGTTATTATTTATTATTAATTTATTTAATTAAATATTAACTTATATAATAGAATATCTAGTTAAATAGAAAATAGTAAATAAATATAGATTTTATAATTATACTATAATAATATAGATAAATATATTATTATATTATAAAGTTAAGTTAGTTATAAATTAAGAGTTACTTAGTTTTAGAAATCTATTAAAATCTTTAGAATATAAATCGATAAATATAAATATATATTACTTAGTATTACTAGTTTAAGCTAATGATAGTAAACTATAGTATATCTACTAGTTAGAGAGGCCTCCCTTAGGCAATAAATAGATTAAATTCGATTAAATTCAATTAGCTATATACTGCTTTTCTTTTATAGTTATCTAAGTTGTCGCGATAATCTGTAGTTAGGCCGCTACTGCAATTTAACTTATATTATACTGAGTGGGGAGGAAAACGAAAGCAGCAGATCCCGAGTATTGATAAAGTATCTTGGCCAAAAAAAAAAAAACATAGTCGTCAGCGCGGACCAGAACAGATCATCAAGTTGGGATTTCTGTGGACCTGAATGTTGCTATTATAATTTCCGATAGCTTAGAACGGACAAACATATGGAGTTATTCGATTCGCATGCTCATTTTGCTTCGTGGGCTGAAACGAGCATCGCAGCGCCCGCTCGGACGAGGAAAAAAAACGCCAGACACAGTGCTACATGTGCGCCCGCCTCCCCCCGCTTACCGCATGCGATTCGGCCATTTTACGACGTTAAAGAACGGAATTCTTCAATAGCCACCTCTTTTTCAAGGTTGAAAAATGCAATCACAATTCACCGAATCACCACGTCAACTCCATTATACCGACCGTGTTTTACAATATATGTATACCCTCGCCTTTTAACGGTCACCATTATTGATTGTATTCACACGTCACTTATAGTTTCATCGATACATTAATGTACGGATCTGAAAATGATACACATTTTACTTCGCTAAGAAGTTTTGGAAAGCAGTCTGATCAATTACAACATTACCAACCGCGCGTAACCGCTTTCTTCCATCCTTTTGTTTCTCTAGCAACTTTCGCCTTCTTGTGATATCACTGGCATGTAGTTTCGCTAGTACGTCCTTACGAAATGGCTTGATTGTCTCACGAGCAATGACTCTATTGCCAGCTACTGCTTGGATGACGACCTCTGCAGAAACGGATCCCTCAAGTCAGTTATTATTCTGAGGTAACTTTGATAGTAATGCGCTCACCGAACATCTGCCTGTCAACATGTTCTTTGAACTTCGTGACCCACTGTCTGCCAATGCGCTCAACTTGGGATGTGTGTACAATCTTGCAGATGGCGTCAACAGGTTGCTTGTTCACAAGCAGTTGTACTTTAGTTAATTTGCTTTCTCGCCAACCGGCTTCCTCATAATCGAGTGTGGCATATCCTTTACTGTTGATGAAGTCAGTGGAAAATTGCATGCCATTACGAGCGTCACGACGTACCTCGACCCTTTGAGCTTTCCAAAGAAATCCTCCACCAGCTGAGCGGCTGGGACATCATACAGAAGAATTACTTGATCCTTATTGAAAAACTCAATACTCTTCTGCTGCCCTCGATTTGCCTCGCATAGCTCAATCACACGTCCAAGATGCTCCTCGGGTACCGTTATCGTCGCCTTGACGAATCTTGGCTACCGTCAGCACTGCATGCGCGAAATAGCCGCAATGAGTAGAGTAGCTGTACTTACGGCTCCAGCAGCTGGGAATTCTTAATATGCGGATGAGATGTATCGGGGAAGAGGGCTGGGTTTTGCACGACCTCCTCCCTGCCGTTGCTCCAGATGATTTTGGTTGGCACAGTAGGCTCTGTGATAATAATGCTTCGCCCATGTTCTTGTTTGAGGCGATCCTGAAAAACGGAGCAGTGTAAGCTACCAAGGAAACCGAGACGCCAGCCCGCCCCTAGTGCTTCCGAGTGATCCTTCTGGAGCGTCACGCTGCGGTCGTTGAGCACCAACTGGTTGATGCTATCCGCGAGTCTACTATAGTCGCCCTGATCGGTAGGGAAGGCGGCAACGAAAACCATAGGCTTGGGTTCCTCAAAGCCAGGGCATGGCTCGATGGCATCCTCGCTACCCACTGTTGTGAATGTGTCTCCGAGCTTGGCGTCCTTGATTTGCTTCATGCCGGGGTTGAAGTAGACATAGCCAACCTGCCCTGCGCTCAATACTTTTTGTGGTGTCGCGTCAGGAATTTGGACGCCAACTTGCCCAACAGTATATTTCGTAGCCGTCCCTAGTGACACCACGTTGTCCCCAGCCTGGACCATGCCATCAAATATCCTCACAAGCAGAACAACGCCGCGAAAATTGTCGTACCAGGAGTCCACCAAGAGCATCTTCAGTCGCTTGTTGCGATCGCCTAACGGATGAGGCACCTTCTCAATAACAGCTGGAAGCACCGCGTCAATGCCTTTGCCAGTCTTCGCGCTGACAAGAACGGCTCCTGCGGGGTCCAACTCGAAGCTATCTTCAATCTGTTTCAGGACAGAGGGAACATCGGCCGACGGCATATCAATCTTGTTGACAACAGGTAGTAACGCCAGGTCCTGCGCAAAGGCCAGATGGAAATTCGAGACTGTCTGTGCCTGGACACCTTGACTGGCATCTATTAGTAATATGGCGCCGCCGCAGCTGGCGTACGAGCGTGTGACTTCGGCCCGGAAGTCAACATGGCCAGGTGTATCGACCAGATGTAGTAAATAATCGTCGCCTTTGTAGTTGTAGAGCATTGTACATGTTTGCGCCTTGACTGTGATCCCACGCTCACGTTCGACATCGAGTTTATCCTGCCAGTGGTAAGCTCTTTGCCCTCGCACTGCGACGTCTATCTCCCCTTCGCTTGAGAACCATCGTGAGACACATACCAGTATTTGCTTATTTGCGTCACTCGCCGAGATAGTGCCCGTGTGCTCGAGTAGCCGGTCGCTAAGCGTACTTTTTCCATGGTCGATATGTGCCACTATGCAAAAATTTCTGTATCGGCTGATAGGAATAGCCGCCATGCGCGCCTCAAGCTGGGTAGGTGTTGCTTTCGTCTGCGAGGCAAAACGACGCCCCCTTGCCGCGTAGAGTAGAATGCAGCCATGTCTGCTAGCTGCGCGAGGACGCACAACCAGGCATTGTCGAGCGCAAGCTCTCGCTGCCTTCCCGACCAACTTCATGTAAGAATTTTTATCTTCGTCATTCGCTGTCAGGTATGGAATGCTGTCCCAAGGCTTTCTGCGCGTGCCGGTAGTTGGTCGTTGTGGTGTGCATGCGTCCATCTTTTCAGCTAAGTATAGCCGCCACGAAAACCCCCCCCCCCCGGGTGGCTCCATCGTTGACCACGCCTGTAATAAAATAACTTGCGACATGGCCACTACATGGTATTTTCCGGTGGCAAGAGTCCTGATTGCACTCTTTTCATTGATGAGAAACATTGCAAATCACTATGCATTTTCAACTTGCTAATTACTTTGGTGCATATTGCATCAATTGCATGTAATATCCCGTGTTAATGTGAAAAACATGTCCACCGTCTTCGCGAGGTAAAATCAATATGATATTATGCTAGGACCCATTCACTCCCTCTCTTAATGAACTTCTCAAGCAGTAAACCAAGATCAGTCAATGCAAACCGGCAGATGTAAAAGCCGAAGAATTCGGCAGCATGACGTGTGCAGAGCTCTAAACCAACTTGCGTCTTATCCGCATGACGAAGGCCAGGGTCATCCACCTGGCGAGCAATCTGATCTGTGGGACATTAGCTAGTCTGCTAGTTGGCTAAATAGAAATATAGAGACATTTTTTTCTTACCGACTGCTTGGGCTGCATCGAATAAGCGTGCCAGTGAACTCATATAGTTTGCATTAGGCCCAGTAAATTGAGCTTGACCAAGATCACGTCTTGGTGGACGGCTTGTCGGCTGCACCGTCATTGGCAGACTGGGAACAACCATGTCCCCCTTACCTGCGTCTCCCACAGCAGTCCTGCTGCTATTGTACGCGCCACTTAGTGCAACCCCTGAGCTCTTGGCCCTTAGGCGTCGCCACGAGAAGGATGGCTTGTTTGGTACGCTGGTTGAGCGTGGAACACCGGAAGAACCATCCCCATCGCCGCCTGCCTCTTTGAAAAAGGTCCCCGAACCCTGCACTCCGACGTCATTTCCGAGTTTTCGAGTAAGCGTCGCCTGCACCTGCTCAAGGATTCCTTCCAGCGATTGCATCTCTTCCAGAACAGCATCGGCGTCGCACGTGTCCACCTGCGCCAGTTTGAGCAGGGCAGCCGTGAGGAGGTCACAATTCGCGATTTTGTCGTCAACGTTTTTCAGCTTTACGCCCTTAACCTTCCAAACGTCACGGGGTACGAATAGCTTTGTACTGACATAGCCGCCTCGCGGATGCACCATCGTCTGGAAAAAACATCTCATAAGCCAGAAGGGTCGCAGCATGAAGTCGTGCGGGCATGGCTCCAAAGGCACCGGAGCATCTGTATGTGCATTGCCCGCCGATCCAGGACTCGTAGGCTGATGGAAGTGGTCATCGAACAAGCGGGCCCCTGTCGATGAAGAGTCGAGATTGTCTCGAAACTCTGAGCTCATGGGCGTTGGAATGGTGGGCACCGCTGGAGTCCTTGATCCACCAAAATGGTTGCTCGACGGAGTGCCGGGAGACATGTCTGATGGATCTTCCAAGTTTGATAGCGACAGGTTCCTACTCTTGATACTGCGTAAGCTAGAAGAGGAAAAGTTCTCTCGTAGTTTGGTAGTGATAGCCGTCGGTGAAGCCGCTTTGCTCGATACGGCTTCATCTATTTCCGCGGGGACTCGATTACAACCCAGTGATGCAATATTCGGCTGGTCAAAAGAAGTCACGTCTATGGACGGAGTAGAGCGTGCATGGGAAACGATTCGGGAACGTCTACTTGCTGTAGACGGACGCTCGTTCTCTTGCTCTAGGGCAGCATTCGGTTGGTCTGAGTGCGATTGAATGGTCAGGGGGCTCGCGGTTGGTTTTGTGGTATCGATCTTTAGCTGCTTGGGGTTCTGCCCAGATAGACGGCGATTTCTTACAGTCTGCATGGGCGAGGTGCCACGCGACGACGGAAGATCAGGCAGTGAGGTATTAGGTGGCGGTAGACTGGGTCCAAGGCCTTTGATGATGCTGGAAAATGATTTCTTCTCCATCAGGGGACGCACAGGCTCGACTTGGGATTTTTGTTCCGGCGCTACTCTCTGTCGAGTGGATGGCCTGAAGTCCTCACCACGAGTCACTATGATGGGTACTGCTTCGTTCATGGTGAAGTCCCCAATGTCGTAGTCACGCGCCATCTCCTCTAGCATGCGCTCTTCATCGTCTGAGGAGTCATCATCATAAAAGTCGTTTTGAATATGAGTAGGCTTGTAATGCCTAGGGGAGAGCAGCTCAGTCATGCCTGTGCTGTTGGAAAAGGATAGTGTTTCTTGCTCCGTCTGACGAACTCGTTCACGTGCGATCTCAACTTTTCGTAAGACCCGAGCTACAGCTTCCTCGCCCGCATCTCTTTCTCCTAGATTATTCCTTCCCATGGGCTCGTAACCGTCGTCATATGCAGCTTCGATCGCAGCGTCGAGCGCTGTATCAAATTCGGCTTCAGTATTGTCACTTACAACCCGCGTATGCTTTCTTCGCTGCCCTTGCGACGAGGGCATCGAATGAGTTGATGATGCTGTTGAGCCTCCCGACTCGCCAATCCCATCAAGCCAGGAGTTTTGACTACCATCACGAACATGGCCAATTTTGTCATTTCGGCTAGTTCGTCTGGAATGGTTATCATTCAGTTCGCGCTCTGAATCTCGTACTGGTGGGCTTTGGAGCGGTGAGTTTGCACGGACTGAGTTCACCGGCTGTGGTAAGTCGAGAGCTCGCTCATGTGAGCCGGTAGCGGTGTGATTCGAGCGAGCGCTAGATCTCGAAAAAGATGATTGCAGCATGCCTTGCTGCCCGTTTGTGACCGTTCGATGCCATTCTGTAGCTCTGATGTTAGGCGGAGGTTGGTCCTGACCGTACTGTTGAGTGTACGATGGCGGTGAGGCTGGCTGTCGAGGGTGACTTCGATTGGTATTTGAGCCGTCGACCCAGAGGCTTGCGTTGAACGACGTGATGGTAGATGCGATTTCCGTAGCACTGTATTGATTCTGGGCCAGCTCCGGGCTGTACTCGTCGCTGCCCGGTCTAGCAGGCAGCGCCTTTAATGCCGTATCCAAATTTGGCATCAATTCTATCTGGTCTAGCTCTTCTATGCGGCTGGAATAGGTTTGACGCTATTGTGTGGTATCAGCTCGAGCTTTTATGTCCACGATGCAGCGACTGTGTACTCACAATGGCTTCAAGTTTTCGCTTGTCTTCGTCGCCGGATGTTCGTCGCAATACCTGCTGCAGGAGATCACAAGCTTCAGCGTACGCGGTGCGAGCACCTTCGAGATTCTGCGCATTGTCGAGTTGGACGGCCGTGTTGGCCTTTTGCAGGGCGCGCGAGAGCATCGCTTTCTGGGAAGGTGGCTTGGCTGCCTTTCCCTTGTCGATGTCATTGCTCCCCTTTGAGCTACGGCGGCGGCCCTGGCCCCGCACCGTCTTGCCGTCGTGCGGCAGGTTAAGGGGCATCGGGTGGTTGAACTTTTCAGGTGTCAAAGGACCCGTACGGAGCCTACCAATAGCCGAGGAATGACGCGCGGAGTCCGCAACCAAGCGGCGATAGCGGTTCAAGCGGTGAGAGGAGCACGAAGGACGGAACCTCGTCAATCGGCTGCAACTGTTGGTCTGTGACGTGAGCGCGAAGACTGCTCTCGATCCCTTTCGGTGAGAGGCTGAATGCCAGGTCGGCGGTATAGGGTCTGGGCGGAACGCTGGTTAGGTTGATAGTGTCTCAGGCGATGTGCGTTCCAATGACCTCGTGATCTGGCGATGTACTTAACTCGTGCGAGTTCCTATCCGCTGCGGCGGTAGTTTGCTGGTGCCAGCGGCGGTCGGCGGCAATTGTAGCCTCGGCTTCCTCTGAGACTCGTTGCCCTCGAGTGGCAGCGTTTGCAAAACTCGAGGCCGAGTTAGCAGCGATGAGGTTCTAGTTCTGGTCGGGCGGGAGGCAATTAAAAGAGGACTCGTGTTGAGGTGGAAGAAGAGTAGAGAGAGGAGGCATCTACGTTTCCGTCGTCGACCGCAGCGGGAGTTTTCGGCGTTGAGTTGGACGGTCCTGTATGGTCGTGCGGTGGTTTGTGCTGTTGTTGCATCCTCTGATCTGCATAGCGCCGCGGCCGCCTTAGCGCACCTGCACAGCTCGTCTAGCGTTGCAACAGACGAGTCGTCGTCTGGCCAGCCCCTACAGCGTCTCCCGTTTACAGCGTCTCCTTGCTGTCTAGAAACACTGTCAAGTCGCTTAGATACGTTAGAAGAAATATATATTATATCAGCTCCTACATATACTAGATACTCTAATAGTCTTACTATATATTAAAAAGACATTTTCTATATAATAGTATATAATAGCTATACTTATTTCTAATATATAGTTAGTCTATTTCTTAGATAGTAAGTTAGGTTTAAATAATATAAGGTAGTAATAAGTAATATTATAAAAATAAAATCTAATTAAAAATAGAGCTCTTAATAGTAAATCTATTACTTAAATTAATTAATAAAGATCTAGACTACTTAATTATAAAAATATATTATTCTTAAATACTTATTATTTAAGAAATAAACTAACTATAAATTAAGATTAAGTTATTATTATTATATTTTAATTAATCTTATTTAGTAAATTACCTTTAAAACCTTAAGTAACTAACCTTTTAAAATATCTATTATAAATAAAAATATTACTAACCTTATAAGTATAATTATAAACTTAAATATTAAGATTAAGTACTTATATATATAATTAAAAAAATAAAACTTAAAATCTTAATAATAATACCTAAACCTAAGAAAAAACCTATAATACTTAAGTTTCCTAAACCTAATATATTTAATAAAGTAAAAAAAGATATTTATATTTTTTTTATTTAAGTAAAAGCTTATTTAAAGGTTAATAATACCTTTAATAAAGAGTTTATTAAAATTCTTTATATTAAAACCCTTTTTATAAGTAAAATAATAAAATAATAAAAACTAATTTTTAAAGACTACTTTAATAATAAAGAGCTTAATAATAAAACTACTCAAATCTTTAAGAAATATAAAAACTTTAAAGAGGTTTTATAAACTATATTTAATAACCTAAATAAGATTTAAACTATAATATATAAAATTAAATCTCTAAAATAAACTAAATTTATTTAATATTATATATATAAGTTTAGATATATTATTACTAAACTTAATTAAGATAATAATAACTAAATAAAACTATTTTATAATAAACTTAAAAAAGATATAAAAAATAAAATTTATAAAAAAGATTAATTAGATATTCTTAATATCTTTATTAAAATAGTAATTAAGATTAATAATTATAATTATAAGAAGACTAGATACTTTATAAATAAATATAAAATACCTAAAAAATAGTAAAAGTTAGTTACTAAAAGAAAAAAAGTTAATATAACTTATTATAAAGACTTACTTATTTAAGATATTAATATAATAAATAATAAAAAATACTTTTTAAATATTAATTAATCTATAAATTATAATAAACTAATATTTAATAAAAACTAAGACTTTAGAACCTAACTTATTTTAAATAAAGAAGAAGACCTTAAGTTAATTAACTAAGATACTAAGGAAACTATTAATATAATTTTTAAAATACCTTTAAAAGAGATTTATAAACTATAACCTTAGGCTAGTTAATACCTTATTAGCTAGTCTAGGTAACCTTAAACTAGTAAGTATAAGATTTTATAAAACTAATATTTCTT